ATCCATTTATGTGTCCATCTGAAAAATACTTGCATCTTCTAATAGACAATTTTATTTCCAAAAATACCATATATAACAAAACTTTCTCCCGTTTCGTGCACATTCTCAAAAATTTGATTGAACGCGTTAACCCTACATTTCCAAATTTGCGTTATCGGTAACGAGAAAGTTAAAAAATCGCCAAAAATCCATTTATGTGCGCATCTAGAAAATATTTGCATTTTCTAATAGACAATTTTATTCCCAAAAATACCATATATAACAAAACTTTCTCCCGTTTTTTGCACATTTTCAAAAATTCGATTGAACGCGTTAACCCTCTATTTCCAAATTTGCGTCATTGGTTACAAGAAAGTTAAAAAATCGCCAAAAATCCATTTATGTGTACATTTGGAAAATATTTGCATCTTCTAATAGACAATTGTATTTCCAAAAATGCCATATATAACAAAACTTTCTCCCGTTTCGTGCACATTCTCAAAAATTTGATTGAACGCGTTAACCCTACATTTCCAAAATTGCGTCATATGTAACAAGAAAGTTAAAAAATCGCCAAAAATCCATTTATGTGTGCATCTGGAAAATATTTGCATTTTCTAATAGACAATTTTATTCCCAAAAATACCATATATAACAAAACTTTCTCCCGTTTCGTGCACATTCTCAAAAATTCGATTGAACGCGTTACCCATACATTTCCAAATTTGCATCATCAGTAACGAGAAAGTTAAAAAATCGCTAAAAATCCATTTATGTGTGCATCTGAAAAATACTTGCATCTTCTAATAGATAATTTTATTTCCAAAAATACCATATATAACAAAACTTTCTCCCGTTTCGTGCACATTCTCAAAAATTTGATTGAACGCGTTAACCCTACATTTCCAAAATTGCGTCATATGTAACAAGAAAGTTAAAAAATCGCCAAAAATCCATTTATGTGTGCATCTGTAAAATATTTGCATTTTCGAATAGACAATTTTATTCCCAAAAATACCATATATAACAAAACTTTCTCCCGTTTCGTGCACATTCTCAAAAATTCGATTGAACGCGTTAACCCTACATTTCCAAATTTGCGTCATCGGTTACATGAAAGTTAAAAAATCGCCAAAATACCATTTATGTGTGCATCTGAAAAATATTTGCATTTTCTAATAGACAATTTTATTTCCAAAAATACCATTTATAACAAAACTTTCTCCCGTTTCGTGCACATTCTCAAAAATTCGATTGAACACGTTACCCATACATTTCCAAATTGGCTCCATCGATACGAGAAAGTTAAAAAATCGCCAAAAATCTATTTATGTGTGCATCTCAAAGATATTTGAATATTCTAATAGAGAATTTTCTCTTGTAAAATATTATATAAAAGAAAACTTTCTCCCGTTTCGTGCACATCCCCAAATATTGGTCTGAACGCGTTATCGATACATTTCTATATTTGGGTCACCGGTAACCTTGGTATACCTCTTCTTCAACTGCACTACTTAATAGATGCACCGTGCAGTTGGTTTACATCCCGCAACTAACCTCTTTTCTTTCTAAGGCATTATTGTTGCATGTTATTATGCTCTGTAGGTTTTGTAAAGATTTATCGTTGCTTTTGGGACCATTTTCAGTTAACCCTAAAAAGCATTTATTCTTCCGCAATGAGTCAATCTGTGAATTTCAATTTTTTATTGTTATCACTGGTTTTTTACATTTTCGATTGGTGAAATTATTTCTCTGCTTTAGGCTCCTGCAAGCTTGGTCTAACCAACCCTGTTCATTCAAACTAGACTGTAATTTAATAAAAATGTTATTTCGTTTAATGAATAATATGCATTGCACAGTAATTGAACTATAGTTCTTTAACGCGTGAACATTTAAATTTACAAAAAAAACAAAATATGTTTTTTATTTTAGCTAAAAATTAACAAATACTAATGCAATTGCAGCAAAAAGTGAAATTTAAACTTTTTAAATTGAAAAAAAGTTTGTGATGACCATGTAGATGACTATAATTGTGAATAGTACAGATTGACAAGCGTATAAATTTTAACTATATATACGAGGTAAAATATAATAAACAGTAGTGTTTTTGCGACAAATTAATATAGCATATTTATAAAATATAAGTTTTAGCTTTAATTTAAATGTATGAAAACACAAAAAAAATATAATAATACGTTATAATAATAAAAAAAACGTATAGCCCCAAAAAAGTCAAACCCAAGCGATTGGATAAATAAATATATATATATATATATATTTACCAAGTATTACTTGCCCACGGATTATGATAGCTATATATGTGTGTGTGTGTGTGTGGGGTTTGTGTATATCATAATGTTATGTGTATGAATTGGTAATTGCACGCTACAGGTATCGATATTGCTAACAGATATAGTTATCGTAACATTTATTTTTGCGGCTTCGTACAATTTTTAGTTTTAAAAAAACCTTGAGTAACTTTTCTATGCCTTTCGCTATTTCTTGTTCCAAATTAACAGCAAAAATTTGTCGATTACGCTGAACTTTTAACAATGGACTAATGCCTCCATTTGACTAATTTTGATTTGGCGCAGAATCATAAAAATAAAACTATTGACGAGCAACGTCCTGTATTGAACGTCCTGTTTTACTTGCATCTTCCAATAAACAATTTTATTCCCAATTTTGGTTCATTATTCTTTTAATATAATAACAGTTTTGTTTAATTTTTAATCATTAATATTAAATACCAGGCAATGATTTGACGACTGAAACCCCGGAACTCGTGGCCACGAGATATGAATCCTTACTCAGACTGTTAGAGAACAAAGTCAGAACGCGCCGAATAATCATATTAAGCCTGGTTTATAGAAAAGACGTTCAGAAATGGAAAGTTGATAAACTAAATGTCTCATTGAAACAATTCCAGTCTAACATTGTTCATTTCTGGAAGCTTGACAGAGTGGGAGACGATAATAATATCCTGACGGCATCCACCTGAATGAACGTGGAATGATGAACTTTAAGAGAAACATCATTTATTCTCTAAAGTGCACGAAATAAATTTTCAACATTTTTATTTGTAATAAAAAGTTTATAAAAAAGTATGCATTGTTAATATATCTTTGGATATATATATATATTATATATGTACCTATATATCCATTTTTTTATATAAATGTGTTTGTGGTGTGATATGACTTAATTACTCATTTACTAAAACATTTATAACTTATTTATTTAACGTTAAAAAAAATTGCGGTTTCAAAATGTAACAAACAAATGTCATAAACAAACCCCAATATCGAAGTTGATTGATACACAGGTTGGGGTTGAATGTTATTAGCATCAAATATCATTACAACGAAAAAGAAAGTTATTAAATATTCACCATAAAAGTTAAAAGGTTTCTCTCTCTCTTTTGCGTTTGCTTCAGAGGTTTCAACGACAAACACACAGAGCGTATATGAATACGCGTGCAAACCACGCATCATACACATTGCATATGATAGGCTGGGATCTCTTTGTATTCGAACCCAGTCAATGCAATAGCAAGACCAGGCGCCTTTAACCATTGAGCCATCACGTCATAGTTATGACAAATAAATAAATAAATACTTGGTTTCGTCGTTTTCGTTTTCAGGTTTAACTGATTTGAAATAACAGGCCTACTCTTTCGCTATTTCCTGTTCCAAAATAACACTAAAAATTTGTCGATTACGTTGAGCTGTTAACAATGGACTAATGCCTCCATTTGACAAATTCTGATATGACGCAGCATCAGAAAAATAAAACTATTGACGAGCAACGTCCTGGATTGAACGTGCTGTTTCACTGACGGTATTTACTGCCGAAACATAAACATCTGGATCTACGCTAATCCGGTCCGTTTTGTGATGTAATTTTTATGTCACCTTGGGCCAAAAAACAATGAAGGAAGTTGAGTCATCAACTACCACTACGTGTGAAATTAAAACAATTTATATTAGTATAAATGTAATTCTTTTTGGAGAAGCCAACAAAAAATGGGGATCTGGTACAAAAATTTGTAGCAAATTACTCGTTTAAAAAAGAAAAGAATGCCGCGAATTAAAACACAAGAATTAAAACATGAACATTTCTTTCGAAAGTAACACTAGAGTTTAAACATGCAGCATAATTTTAAAAGTAGTTTTCTTAATTTTATTCCGTTTCAAAACATAATCTAAAAAACATCTAAAATTTAAAAAAGTCCAAAAAGTATAATCACGGTATTCTATTCTGGTATTGCCATTTTGTGTTAATCATATTATAAACTATACTACAAGCAAGAGCAGGAATGACGTTGTAACACATCAGATGCAGGAAACTTCAAAACTGTGGTGCACTTAGGTTGTTTGTGAGATGATAACAAGGACCAAAAACTTCCATAATTAAGTCCAATACTTCTTTGCAGTTCCTGTTTAATTCACCGAGTTCATTAAAATTAATTTATAAATCAAAGTATAACACAATTTTTAAATATTCGATAATATACTGTACAATTTTTAAATTGTATTATAATGTCAACAAAATAATATATAAAATTTTATACTATGCACCTGCGTCTCGAACCGTTATTTTCGTTACCAACTGACAGAGATTTAATAATAATAACGGTAAAAAAATCTCGTATCGTTATAAAACGATACGAAAAATCTCGTATCCTTTAATAACAATAACAGAGATCTCCTATCGTAATTTAAACAAGACATTTTTAGGAAAGTCTATCATATCGAAATAAAAAATAAAAGACACAATTTTCGTCTTGTACCATTATATCAATTTGTGGAAATGGTAAAAGTGCACATTGTAAAAAAGTGTTATAAAATATTAAAACTTATTTAATTTTTTCCAATTGAATGACTTTGGTTTAATACTCTAAAAATATCGTATCGTTATTAAAACAAGACATTCTCCAAAAAGTCTCGTATCAAATAAAAAATACGAACAAAACAAACTTTTGTTTAATTTTTCAATTGAATGGCTGTTTTCTGGGCGAAATGACTGGGCGGCGTGATGGTCTAATGGTTAAGGTCGCCTGGTGCTGTTTCGCAGTAACCGGGTTTTCGAATGTGACAAAAATATCCCCGCGTATCACATGCTTCGTGTATAATGCGTCGTTTAGCACGATGTTCATTTACGATGTTTTGCGCTCTGTTGAATCCTCTGAACTTTGGAAGAGTGTAATTGACCTTTAACTTTTTTGTTTTAATCCAGTACATTTTGTAAAGCGGAGTTGGCGGGAAAACAAATAAGGGCAGACTGTAAATGTGCCAAGCGTCATTGTTATTGCGCGACGTTTTGGTTCAAATACTATCTTTCAAAAACTCAAAAATCATCATACAACTTGTGCACATACTTGTGCACATGATTTTATTATATCAATATATAGTCTTCAATACCTCGTTATTGTATTGTTATCGTATCGTTATGTATCGTTTTCAAAATAATGACGAGACGCAGATTCTTATGTAACAAAATTAATTTTTAATAATTCCGTGTATTTTCATTAAACGAAAATTTATTAAATCAAACTGTTCAGCCGATTTGACATGATTGAGTCCGCCTGTTAGATACGCTTCATCGTAGCCGAAATCGTATCGTTTTAAACAAATAACGGGACGCAGATGCTTATATAATAAAATTAAATTTTTAATTATTCCGTGTAATATTATTAAACGAAAATATATTAGTTCAAACTGTTCAGCCAATTTGACAATATTGGTTCCGCCTGTTAGATACACCAAAACCGTCACGAACATTACCTTCGTAAACAACAACAGACAACACACAATAAGAAGAGAAAAGGAAGAAAACTCACGAAACTTCATTCATATCCAATTTTTTAATATAACAAATAAAAAACTTTATAAATTAAACAAAATAAACAAAAACGGACCGGTGAAATAAAAACCAAAGCTTACTTTCTTTACTTCTTTACCAATTTACACAATAAACAGTATATTAAAGTGTAAAAGTGTAAAAGCGAACTCGGCTGTTAGATTAAATTTAGCCCTTACGGACCGATAGGAAATGATTATATATGTAGAAAAAGGAAATAATTTATCATATACATTATTTATATATTAATATATATCATTTACTTAGTATAAGTTTGTATAATACCAACAAACGAAATTAGTTCTTTGTTCTATTCTGTCCATATCCTATCCATATACTTTGAAACTATACTAAGATATTCTTTGAACATAATTATGTAATAATTATTATTATAATTAATACATTTGTTACATTTTATTTACATTTTACAGATTTACATACATTTGTTACATTTATTTACATTTATTACATCTTAGATTTTTTGACTTGCATCCTGGGATCCTTTACGTCACGAACGAATAACACAACTCACATTTTCCAACATCTAATTCTTATTCTTCTTTTCATTACTTTACTAAACTTACTAACGAATCTTTTTTTGTATTTACTCCTGTAAAGTTTCTAGCACTTACTAAATTATTAATTCTATGTCATTTATAACTTGTTCTCTAGATCTACTTCCTTCTAATTTACTTAAAGAATTGTCTTCAATATTTTATCCTATCATTCTCAAATTAAAAATGAAAATAAAATTGTAATTAATGAGATTTTATTTGTAGTTTTAAATAAATTTGATAAAGTTCAAAATGGTGTTCTTTTGGATAAGTGTCTTAGTTTTTTCTCAGCTAACTAAATAAATGAAAGTTAAGAACTACTAGATGGTGACGTTTCGAAATTGTCTGAAAGTAAAGATATATTGAAATTATCGGATAATAAAGAAAAAAGACAAAAAACAGATTGGTTTGAGGTCTACACCAAAATTTGATTTGGAAGAGATATTATGTTTGGTAAACCGAATGCATGAGATGAAAATATGCGAAAAGTTACCGATGTAAGTGGCTGCGGAATATAATTTTTTGATTTTAATGTATCCACAGGTGCGCAGTCAGCTGACAACAAAGGTATGACAGAAAATATCAAATTTAAAAGTGGATTTACAAAATACAATCGAAAAGCTAACCGTTGCTGTCGAGGGTATTGTAATAAGGTTGAATAAATTAGGTACCAAACCGGTTGTCAAACCTGCTCTTTGGTCTGATAATTTTAAATCTCCTATGTTGTCTAATTCAGTTGGCGGCAAACGACCTAGATCTGATTTGATAGGTTCTCATGATGAATATTGTGAATCAACAAATTGTAGCCTAATAAACGTCCTAAAGTAAATAATGAAAAAAACTGTTGCACGCCAGACAATCATTCAGGAAATGACAAAAATGTCGACAAAACCGGCGTTCACAAAGAAAATGATAATCCCTGGTTGACTGTCCCAAAACCTTCGAGAAGTACAAGTAAGAAAACAGACTTAAAGATAAAAGTAAACTCAACTGTGTGGAATTCTTTTATCATGCGAGTCGTCTGGAGAGGTGTACTAAACAGGAAGTAATAGATCATTTGGTAGCAAATAATATAAAAGTAATTTCTTGTTTTTTACCGACGTTTAAAAAAATGCATCTGACAAAAATTCCTAGAGAAATTAATTTAATGAGGATCAGCCTTCAACAGCTTTCAGAGTGTGCATATATGCCAGAAGTTATGTTGAATTTAATGATCCTGAGATATGGCCTGATGGTGTAATTTGTAAAAAATGGTTTTTCAAGAACAAGCAAAATCAAAACAAATAATGACTTTAAATAATTTAAATGAACATTGTGAAAATTATGGTTTTAATGAATTGGATGATAATGTTTTTAACCTATTTGTTAATTCCAGCTCAATAAACGTAAACAATGTGGGTAATGTTATTACGTGTCTAAAATTTAAGTAAAAATGTCAATAATGCACCTTAATTCCAAAAGTATCACTCAAAAATTAAATAATCTCAGCATTTTACTGGAGATTTGTGGGCATAATTTCGCACTGCTTGCAGTTTCAGAGACTTGGTTGAATGACAATAATGCAGCTTCAATATATTTACCGGGTTATAAGTTTATTTGCGAAAATAGAAATAATCGATCAGGAGTTGGAATTGGCTGTTTGTTTCATCAAAGATGATATCAATTATATTTTGAGAGACGATTTATATGTTAGAAATGATTGTTTCGAATGGATTGCTTTTGAAGTCATAGTTGTTGGTTTTAGAAATTATGTGATATATGTAGTATTCAGACCGCCGAATTCAGATTTTAAAACCTTTTCAACGATGTTAATTAAATCTTAGACAATGTAAGTAAACGAAATAAACCTGTAAATTTATAAGGTGATTTTAATATCGATTTAGAAAACGATTTTAACAGTAAAATGAAAACAAAATTTTTAAATTTTGATACATTATATTCTTTTAATTTTCATCCGCTAATAACACCTCCTACAAGAGTTTCAGAGACATCCTGCACGTTTGGTCATCCGCTCAAGTTGTCTACTCATAGTTTTTAACACGAATCATGGGAAATTTTGTTTTTCCAATAGGGTGGTTGAGTTATGGAACGGCTTGGATGCGGACATTGTGATGGCTAAAGATGTTGAAACATTTAAAATGAAGTTGGATCGACATATGAATTCTACGAACATGATGTTCAACTGGAGATCCTCGCTTGGCCAAATGCCATAGTTTATATATCTATATTATCTTTGACATCTTAGTGGATGCTGTGTGTGTGTGTATATATGTGTGTGTGTGTGTATATATATATGTGTGTATGTATGTATATATATATATATATATATATATATATATATATATATATATATATATATATATATATATATATATATATATATATATATATATACACACATAGACATTTATCATTAGCAATCTGTATTTTCATCCAACTGTATTTTATTTTACTTCATTTATTTATTTTATTATTTTTAAAATACAATAGAAGCTTTTCATTTGCTGGAGGCATAGGAACGTCAGTTCGCGCCTCTCTATTTTCTGTTTATGTTATTTTATGTTATGTTATAATAATAGACAATATATTAACAAATAATATGATGATGCATGACTTTCTTGTAGTTCAAACTGACAATTCTGATCTTTTTCCAATCTGCACATTTTTTGACAACGGTAGGAGTTTTTCAGATGATCTAAATAAAGGCGAATTAAAGCAAGATTTTTCAGAATCAAATTTATGTTAACTAAATCGTTTTTTGTTATCAAATGATTGGAAAGGTATTTATCGTTGCCCGATGTTGACCAAGGTTTTTTTCAATTTCTGAAGATTTTTAATGATGCAATAAACCACCATTAACCATTTGTCCATCAAAAAGCAAGTCGATTTAAACAATTATTAAGATCTGCGATAAAAAAAAATGTTATTTAAAATGTGGAAAAAATACCCGTCACAACATAATAAAAACATCTATCTAGAATATAAAAATTCATCTGTTAAAAATGTGTAGAAAGGCAGAAAAAGAATATTATGGTAAGCAGTTTTTGGATAATAAAGGTAATGTAAAAACAACCTGATGAATTAATTAAAATTGTCCATTTTATGAAGAACAAACGAAGTAGTGGTCATGATAACATATCAAATGTAATGTTTAAAAAATATATATTGCATCAATTGTTTCTCCATTAAATTTTCTGATCAATTTGTCATTTAAAGCTGCTTCATTCCTTACAATCTTAAAAATATCTTAGATAATTCCAGTATTTAAAAAAGTCTAAGTACTTTTATTAAAAACTACAGACTGATATCTTTAATATCTGTTTTTTCTAAAGTGATGGAAAAAAGTATTTATAATAGATTGCTAAACTTTATGGATAAACACGACATATTTGTACCAAATAAGTATGGGTTTAGGGAAAATTCCTCAACGGAACTAGCAGTGATGGATTTAACAAAATACATTTCTGAAAATAACGAATGTAGCGAATTAACTTTGTCGGTTTTCTTGGATTTATCAATGGCTTTTGATACAATTGATCATAGCATTCTGTAACGAAAACAAAAATGTTTTGAGTTTCTTTCTGAAACATGTCATGGTCAACCCAATGTCTCTGAGCGAAGCCGGCAGACCATTCCAGATAGTCGGTCCTGAAACAGCAAAGCTTCGTGAACCAATACACAAATTTGTAGCAGGAACTATCAACAAATTCATATCAAATGATCTGAGATAAATTCCGGCAAATCACTGTTGATCTTATCCTGCAGATACTTTGGAGCACTACCTGTGAGTACCTTATACATCAAAATAGAAATTTTGTAAATTATTCTCTTATCAACAGTTAGCCAGTGCAAATCTCTAAGTATAGGTGTCACATGATCATCCCATCGACCGCCAACCACAACCCTAGCCGCACGATTTTGCAAAGACTGCAATACACGGATGGACATGTCCAGCAATCTATAATACAAACTGTTGCAGTAATCAACTCTCAAGTGAACAAATGCATGAACCAGCGTCTGAAGCGTAGAGACGTTCAATGATCCACGAATTTGTTTCAATCTTCTAATCTGATAAATGCAATCTCTTGAAACCCTCTTGATATGGTGCTTCATTGTTAGATTCGAATCAAAAATCACACCCAGATTAGTCGCATTGTTACAAAATAAAATTGTCTCTTCATCAACTGTGATCGAGTTTATCTTCAATTTTGACAATTGCTGCCATGTTCCCACCGGCAAAAGTTTAGTTTTATTCCGGTTTAATTTCAAGCCACTTTGCATCCATAAATCAACAGCTGACAAGCATTCTACAAATTTTTTCATTTCCAACGGGAATGAATCTATTGTACTGTTAACTATTATTTGAATATCGTCCGCAAAAACGTGACTTGTCAACCAAAATGATTCAACTACATTAAAAACCTCTGACGTATAGAGCAGAAACAACAACGGGCCAAGAACCGACCTCTGTGGCACATCAAAGACAACCCCACTGACGTCAGACATCTTACCTCCAAATGATACTTGCTGAGATCTACCAACCAAATAAAATTTCATCCATTCTAACACTCCATCAGAATAACCAAAACCATATTGCAATCTATCTAAAAGAATCCTGTGATCAACAATCGAACGCCGCACTCATATCAAGGAAAGCCAGGAGTGATATGTTCTGTACATCCATTGTTGAACAGAGATCTGAAAAAAAACCTGCAACAGCGTCGTCTCTGTAGAATGGCACTGTCTAAAGCCAGACTGATGAACAGGCAACAAATTGTTTCTCTTCAAGTGATCCAGTATCTGTTTAGCAACCAACCGTTCAATAAGCTTAGAGGTAAAACAGAGATTAGAAACCGGTCTGTAGCTGCTGATTTCACCAGGATCGAGATTATTTTTCTTCAAAAGAGGACGCACAATTGCATGTTTACACCCCACAGGAAATTGACCAGTTTTCAAAGACAGATTAACCATATTTGTCAAAAAAGGAGCAAACAGATTAACATGTTTCTTAATGATGTCAGTTGGAATAATATCTTGTTGACACGATTTTGCCGTTGATTTCTTAACTACCATTATAACATCATCATTAGTAACCTTTGAAAATGAAGTAAAAGTATCTCTGATTACTAACTCTGAACAGATAGGGCCCAGACATTTCAAAATTTTTGTATCCTGCTTCACCTTCAGTAACTTCTCCGCAAAAAAATCCAAAAATTGATTAGTAGACAACGCCAACTCGGGTAATCTGCCTCATTATTAAGACGAAGACTCAACAATGTTCAGAGTATTCATCAACGCCAGTGATACTCCTGAAATTCAAGATCCTGACAGTCTGCCAGAAAACGTAATAATCCGTGAATGGTGGTTCCTCAACAGTAAAACTGGCCATACTACATCTATTAACAATGGCTAAAATACCTACCAATCATATATCAGAAGAGGATCCGCTGATTATATCATTAACTTCAAATGTTTTGTTAAATAATTATTCTACTACTTTCTCCAATGATGATAATATTTTTTTTTCTTACATTGATCCTGATATCAATTTACTTAATTTTTTTTCTTATAATTCTCCTTACTACACTATCAACGATTTTAATTATACTTCCAACACAATCAAAATTCTTCCATTTAACTCTTCACTATCCATTTTGCACATTAACAGTAGAAGTTTATTACATAAAGTTGATGATTTACTTGTTTTGATTAATTCTCTAGATAATTTTTTAAACATTATAGTTATCTCTGAATCTTGATTGAACAAGTTATCTGCTAAACATATTAAATTAACTAATTACAATTTTATTTTCAAAAACAGATCGAATAAGCAAGGTGATGGTGTTGGGATTTTTCTCAAGGATGGTATCAATTATTCAGTCTTAAATGAAGTTACGCTCGCCAATTGTGTAATTGATTACTTGGGTATCGAAATCAAATTAAACAACGCAGTAATATATTTATATGCTTTTTATAGACCTCTTGATTCGTATATTGATTTGCTTATTCAAGTACTCAATCTCATTTTTGTGAAACTTAAATCTAAATCTATTACATATCTTGTTGGTGATTTTATCATAAATCTCCTGAAACCTTCTCTTAACCACTCAGTTGCATCTTTTCCTGATTTTTTAGCTTCTTTCAATTTTCATCCTCTTATATCCAAGCCTACTTGTGTTTCTCAGTCTTCTTCTTCTTTAATAGACAACATTTTTACTAACAATTTATCAGTCCATTCTTCTGGTATTTTATTACATGACTTTTCAGACCACTTTTCTATTTTTACAACATTTTCTTCTCTTGAATTGTATTATACTACTACTTTTCTAAAATTTTCTAAAAATCTTTTCTACAGATCACTTGAGCAGATAAACTTTTGTTTATCTAATCAAGATTGGTCTTCAGTCACTACACTAACCGATATCAATGAATGTTGCACAAATTTCTACTTTCTTTTCATCAGAATTCTAGACGCTGTCTTACCACAACTACCTTCCAAGTACAACCGCTATAAAGGTATTATCAAATTATCCAGAATTAAATATAAATTATATATAAAAAGCATCACATTTCTTACCGATTCTAACATCCGATTCTTATAAAAAGTTCCGTAACTTCTTTACTTCAATAAAAAGAAAGACTGAGCGCAAATTCTATGTCGATAAATTTGCTATTTCTAAAAAACGATTTCAAATACCAATGGAAGTTGATAAAGCAAGCCCTGTAGACTAATTCATCTTTTCTTCCTATATCTAAACTCACCATCAACAACATCCCCATAGACAACAAACAAGACATATGTGAACACCTGAACGAACACTTTACTACTATCTGCAACAAACTTCTTTCAACTCTTCAACTAATCCGATTTCATTCATAAGCGCTCTCTATCTGATTCTATTGATTTTCAACCCATCTCAACTTCTAAATTGATAACTTTAATTGCCAAGATGAAAAATAATAAATCTGTTGCTGCTGACGGTTTAAATATGTTTTGATAAAAAATACAATTTACAATTTAACAATTCTTCTAGTCCATATTTTCAATTTATCTTTGTCCACCAGTGTATTCCCTGATACTTTTAAAACCTCTAAAGTTATTCCTATTTTTAAAAACGGTAAACCAGATGACATCAAAAACTATAGACCCATTTCTCTTCTCTCTCCGCTATCCAAAATTCTTGAAAAATTAGTTTATACTAGATTATACTAG